CTTTTTGAGACAGGGTCTCTCTGTAGCCCCAGCTGTCCTGGAACTCACTATATAGACCAGGCTGGCCTTGAATTCACAGAGATCTGCCTGCCTCTGCCTCCGGAGTGCTGGGATTAAAGGTGTGCGCCACCATGCCTGGCAATACCAGTATTTTCTAATCAGAGATTGCCCTTTAAGTTTACTGTTTTCCACTGGGCATATATTTGTTTTATATAATGCTAGGTTTCATAAGAACATTTTCAGAACAGTATATAATATACTTTTACCATGTCATATCTCCCCCCTACCTTGTGATGGTCAGTTTTAATTGTCAGCTTTATACAATCTCAAATTAGCTGGAAAGGGCATCTTGCTGGGGGATTGTCTAGATTAACTTGGCCTGTGGGAATGTCTGTGGGCCAAGATAATAATCTCTCACTGTGAGTGGCACCATTCCCTGGGCCACTGAAGGATCCTGGTTGTATATAGAGTGGAGAAAGTGAGCTGAGCAGTGGCACACATAATTCATTGCTCTCTGCTCTTGACTGTGGGTGTAATGTGGCCAGCTGCTTCAAGGTTCTGTCACCTTGATTTCCCCAGAGTGATGGACTGTAATCAGGAGCTATAAACATAACCCCTTTCTTCCTTAGGATGTCTTTGTCAGGTTATTTTATCATAGCACAGCAACAGGAATGAAACTTAAGACACCCCTCTTCATTCCCTTTGTCTCCCCTTTCCCTCTTGTTAGTCCCTATGTTCCCATAGTAAGATAATATTTTAAGTAAGCAGTATTATATTGAGTCTGACTTGGGGGGCCGTATCTTTTTGAGACAGAGTCTCCCTGTAGCCCCAGCTGTCCTGGAACTTGCTTTGTAGACTAGGCTGGCCTCAAACTCATAGAGACCTGCCTGCTTCTGCCTCCCAAGTGCTGAGATTAAAAGCATGTGCCACCACGCCCGGCTGAGTCTGGCTTTTTAGTGATAGAGAAGGTAAGCAGGAATATTAGGAGTTGGTGTCTTGGAAAGGACCACATGGGCAATATTGATTGGAACCTTACTTTGAATATTTCATGGATTTGTTTGAACATAGGTAATTTTTCTCTTCTCTGTGAGTTTTGGTTTACTGTAACTGCAGGCTTGATGCCAGGTATTTTGGGTTGAGATAATCTGTTTCTGATTTATCAGGTAAGAAATACTTTTTTTAGTCAATTGCTTGCTCTTTTTCGAAGATAAATCTAACAGTTTAACCTTCTGCTTACATGTTTAATATAGGTAATATTTGTGATGATTCATGTGCCAGTCATGGGCCAATGAGTTTGAGAGAGTTGGAGTTTCAGCCAAATTCTAACCCTGTTCTTACCGCAACACATCTGACAACAGAAAATGATGTTAATTTAGCAGAAGCTGCTGAAGATTTTTCTCAGGTAACAAAGCCAAGAACATTTATACTTAAAATGAGAATTGTAATGATTTTACACTAGAAAAAAATACTTTTAGGGTCAGACAGCCCCAAGCCATGCTTCTTTTATCCACTAACTCAAGACTGGCTACAAATCTTAGTATCTGCTGGTGCTTCTTCTAAACCTAAATTTCTTCAACTTTTCAGATAAAGAGCTTTCAAATGGTATGTATGTTGGGCTGGCTAGATCACTCAGTGTGTAAAGGTATTTGCTGTGCAAGCCTAGAAACCTGAGTTTGATCCCTGGAACATACTTAGAGGTGGAAAGAGAGAAATAACTACATGAGTTGTCCTTTGACCTCCATCCATCTGCATGCCCTGGCAGGTACCCCCCCAATAAATAAAAATTAGAAAAATAATAATGTATATAAAATTCTAACACATTGTTAAGTAACTATTATCATTTATATCTCTGTATCTCTACTTAAAACCTTGCTCAGATATTTATACATAATATTTAATATTTATAGCATTAAAATATATAAAACTACATGAGAGCATGAAAATTCATAGTATGAGGCCAATAGCCCATAATATCGTTTTTTTTTTTTTTTTTTTTTTTTTTTTTTTTTTTTTTGAAAATGGGTTTCCCTGTTCCCCCAGCTGGCCTGTAATTTGTTTTTTAGAAAGGGTGTAAAAAATTAAAACC